TTTGCTCATTTCTTCCCGTTTTCTCGCGTTTTTGCATCGTTTTTCGTGCAAGAAATATCCCGAAGCCCCGGTATCATTCCCGAGCCCCGAAGCAAGTCCCGAGGCCCCGAAGATCCCGAGAAGTGCGATTCCTGAGCCTCTGCCCGCGAGGAGTCTTGTTTTTGTAAAGATCTTCCAGATCTGCCAAAGAATACTACTTCTACAAGTCGAAGTGCTGTCCGATCATCTTCTAATCAAGTGAGTGTGTGGTTACTTTCTTCTAACGCATAATTATTAAGTATTTAGTATAAAATACGTGTTATGTGTATATTTTGTTGTTATATGCGTAAATGTATATTCACTTTCTTCTATCTCATAGATCTGATTTATTCTCTATGAAATACGTGTTATGTGAGTATGCCTCATCTGTTATGTGGAGTAGGTATTGAATGAGAATGTTATACAGGTTTTAAACTATGTATAAAAATATATATTTTTATCTACTAATATGTTGGGTAGAACATGGGTAGATAGTTGATGTATGATAAACATATGAGAGGCCCCGATGTTGTTGTTGTTGATCTAGTTATTCAGCGAGTATAGATTAGACCAAGAGGTTAGTTTTAGATCCGGGAGTATGGATCAGGTAAAGAGATAAAACTTGTTATTAGTCCGGGAGTATGGATTAAGACTAAGTTAATTGTCCCTAGTCCGGGAGTATGGATTGGGTACAGTTATTGATCCGGGAGTATGGATCAGATCAGGATTAGGGTATAGTTAATTGTCCTTATTCTGGGAGTATGGATTGGGTACAATTATTGATCCGAGAGTATGGATCAGATCAAGAGGTTAGTTTTAGATCCGTGAGTATGGATCAGGTAGTTTTAGATCCGTGAGTATGGATCAGGTGAAAAAGGTTAGTTTTAGATCCGTGAGTAGGGATCAGATAAAGAGGAAAATTTTAGATACGAGAGTTTAGATCATGTCGTTGTGAGGATCAATGGGGTGGGATAAGAGTTGCCTTTATATGGTGAAATTGTAAAAGTTTGAATGTTCTATATTTATAAATATATGATATAACATTGTGGGATGAAAATCCTATATGCTCACCACGCTCCCAAGCCTGACCCACTCAGTTTTCTTTGTATCACAAGTATTAATACGAAGATATATTTCACAGAGAGATTTAAAGGAGATATAAATCAATTGTGTAATTAAATGTAAGTTCTGTTTATGCTTATATGTTGTGACATCCCCATTTTCACGGCCAGAAAAGACCGATTTTGTTTATGCTTTATAAAAATAAGAGTACTTCTTTTAATAGAAATGTTGCGGAATTCGTTCCCAGAAAAACACGATAAATACGTTATTAAAACATTTTCGAAGAAACGTATTTTATTCATTTTAAAACATTTGGGATGGCATCGTCAATACAGGAACATAAGCATAAACAGAACTTACATTTATTTACACTAGTGATATACATCTCTTTAAGTCTCTCAGTGTAAAGTGACTTCATATCAACACCTGTGATATAAATAAACTGAGTGGGTCAGGTTGGGAAACCTGGTGAGTACATAGGGTTTTCAACCCACAATAATATAATTATTATGTTTAAACAATCAAGCAATTAAACCCAATTACCCATCCCCATTATCTTCTTTACTCTTAAGGATCTACCCCAAGAATCAACTATTTCTCGTTCATTCATTCCTAAGGATTATCCTAAGCAATCGACACAAAGTCCATCATAGCCACGGTTTACACAATAGGCACTAAGTCTGCATAGTCGCCAGGGTTTAGGCATCAAGTCTGCATGATCACTAGGGTTTAGGCATCAAGTCTGCATGATCACCAAGGTTTAGGCATCAAGTCTGCATGATCACCAAGGTTTAGGCATCAAGTCTGCATGTCACCAGGGTTTAGGCATCAAGTCTGCATGATCACCAGGGTTTAGAGTACACCGGGTGAACACGTCGTTCACAACACCTACAGGTTGCGAGCCTGCTAATGTTCCACTGGACTGTCTAGAATAGTCCGTGGCTGTCATCCATACTCTGCTGAATAACGGGGCCATCATTTAGGAGAAAGGCTTCTCACATCGTCCACCTCTCATCTTCACCTCACGGTATATTTCACCTCTTAACTCATCATCCAACTCATACTCCATCTACCCATGTTTTACCCCAACATTATCGTAGATATAAAATACATATACAGTTTAAATCATTTAAAACATGTATAAAATCTTTCATCAGCATAGACAACAAGTATTCAGACAATATGCACACATAGCACGTAATTTATAATAAAATACTTCATATCTATGTGTAAGATGAAAGGGAACTATGCACTCACCTGAAAGGTGGTGACTCAACATTTGGACAGCACTTCGATACTCTCAAAACAACTTTCCTTCGATAAAACTTAGTATCAACACCACTAGGGTTTAGTCTACCGATATCCGCGAAAAATTAATAGTCTGAATATTATTATTGTTATATAAGAGTTAAATAACACTCAATATAACTCATAATAATAGCCCAAATAATTATTTTAAGGTCCTAATAATGTTACTATAATTAATTAGAAGCTATATTAAAACTAGCGTAGGTGTAGCTCACTTACAGCGGGTTTTTTGCAAAACCGGGCTTCGCTGGAGCAGCGTTTACCGAGCTGAAAGGCTCTTTTCACGGAGCCGTAGGGCGCTCCGGGGCTTCCGCCTCGTGCTAGGGAGTTACCCTAGGCTTTGGGGGGTTAGGGAGGCTTAGAGAGAGAGTTTAGAGAGAGAAAAAAAGGGTTTGAAGGTGTGAGAATGAATGGAACCCGACACCTCTATTTATAGTGAAAAAAATCTGATGGACTCGCCGAGTAGGGGGGACCTACTCGCCAAGTTGGTCCATGTGGTGGCCTTCTGGTGGTGCCACGTGTCCAATTCTGGTGGTGCCACGTCACCCCTATCACGTATCAGCCCTCAAACTTAGAAAAATTATAACTTTCGCATACGAGCTCCGTTTTCGACGTTCTTTATATCCACGCGTAGGTAAAATCAAGATCTACAACTTTCGTTTAGACTCCGTCGGCTAATTCTCGACCGATCTCAAATTTAACAGTAGGAGGCGTTTAGACTGTTAAATGACCGCAAAGAATTCATAACTCCTTCATACGGACTCCGTTTTCGTCTGTCTTTTTACCATTGAGTTCCTATTAATGAGATCTTCAACTCTCATTTAGTTCGCGTAAGCCAAAAACCGCTCGAACTAAAATTCGAGTTCCGGGCCGTGCACTGCTAAGCCGAATCTTAGGAAAATCATAACTTCCTCATACGAAGTCAGATTTGGGCATTCTTTTTATCGACGCTCTTAGTTTAACATATTCTACGACTTTCATTTAGATTGCTAAGGATAAATTTCGCTCTATCGTAAATTCACTATTTACGCTTCCCGGTACCGTGCCGGTTTTGCCGTAAAACTTCGACGGGCCATAACTTCTTCGTTATAACTCGGATTTCGGCGTTCTTTATATGTACGGAAACCTTGTGACATATTCTACAACTTGGTTAAGATTATTTATTCTAAATAATCTTTTGTCTAAAAGTCATTTTCGACCCTTATTGCCTCTAAATTGACTAGCCCGGATCTACGGGCGTTACATATGTCTGTATCGGGACATGACATCCCGAGGTTTTATTATTAAATGAAAATACATTCTCTTTGAGAAATGTTTTGATAAGTTATTATCTTATCTTGTTTTGAGAACAAATTCCGCAACCATTTTCTTTAAAAGATTACTCTGATTTTATAAAACAAAGCATAAACAAATCGGTCTTTTCTGGCCGTAAAAATGGGATGTCACAATTTATAGGTTCATAATAACAATATTATATTTAAATATAAGTTATATTTAAAGTAGGGTAGGCGTACCTCACTTACAGTGGGTTTTGCTAAAATCCGGGCTCCGTTGGAGCAGAGTTTCTGAGCCGAAAAGCTCTTTATCTCGGAGTCTTCGGGCGCTGCAGGGCTTTCATCTAGCATCTTGAGGTTACTAGGGATTTAGAAGGGTTTTGGGAGTCTAGATAGAAGTTAGAAAGAGAAAGAAAGGCTTATGGTGTGAAGAAAATATGAAGAATTCATCCTTTATTTATAGGGGTTTGATCATAGAGTAGGCCTTAAGTTTCGTCAGTAGCTTTCGTGTATGAGATCCTTTTTCTACGTTCTTTATATCCATGCATTGGTATTTACGAGTACTAAAACTTTCATTTAGACCCCGTCGACTAATTCTCATTCTATCTCCGATTTACAAAATTGTATCGAATTTATCGCGTTCGAAGAGTAGGGACTAAGTTTCGTCAATTTCTTTAACATACGAGCTCTATTATCAATGTTCTTTATATCCACACGTTGGTATTTATGAGTATTACAACTTTTATTTAGACCCCGTCGGCTAATTCACATTCTATATGTATAGAACCCTTGTGACATATACTATAACTTGGTTGAGATTATATATTATAAATAACTTCCATCAAAAAGTCATTTTTGATACTCATTGTCTCTAAATTGACTAGCCCGAATCTACGGGCATTACAGGTTGTACATGGGTCGGTTTTGGACCCAAACCCAACTCAACCCATAAATGGTATGTTTTTGGTTTTTAGAACCTAATAGGGGGTTTCTGACCGGTTCATTTTTTCGGGGTCTGAGATCGGTTTGAACGGTTTTTCGGTTTCTTGGGTTCAACCCATACACTCACGGTTTCTGGGTTTAAACCCATTTTCCAGAATTGAAGCAAAAAGTAAAATACTTCAAAAAAAAAAACCAAATTGAAGTTAAATACTTCAAAGAACATGAGTATTACAACCAAATAGTCTGTTACAAGTTACAATCAAAGCCCAAAATATTTTATTACAACCAAAACACAATCAAGTATGGGTAGGTTTCTCGGGGTTGGATGGGGCGATTTTTTGGGGCGGTTTGTCGGTTTTAATATGGGTCGGTTTCTGGGTAAAAACCGAAACAAAACTTGATTTTTCGATTTTTAAAAAAAATCAAACCCTAATTGTCAGTTTTGCTTCAGTTTTGGTTTATTCGATTTCATTGGTTTTAGTCGATTTCTCAGTTTGGGTTTCCTCACCCTAGCTGTTTTGACTACCGATAGTCAGAAGAGGTCGGTTTGTTCTCGTTGGATGATGTACCTGTGACAACGAAGTGCAGATCTGAACATCCTACCCCGTAAATATGTTTGCAGTTGCCTCTCCCTTCCTGTGCTTGCACCTACAAGTCAACATCACCCTCCGGATGTTGAGTTATATCCTGTGCCTACTTTTCAACTATGACACTAGTGTATCTCTGCTACAATTTATCCAAAGAAAACGATTGTTATTATTATACTATTTGAAGTTGGAGCTCTAATTATCTAAAAAGGAAAAGATAAATTACACATATTGCTTTAACAATATGTGTACAAAATTCCAAATCTTGAATCATATCATAATCTTCAGCCTTGAAGGTAAACATAAAACAAATCAACTTAAGGTATACAAATTATTAATTGATATATTACCCCAAAAGCACGGAATATCTGTTGAAATACTGTTGGGGAAGCTTAGTATATGTGGGTCGCACTCCATCCAAAAAATTGATCAAATATAAGTCTGATTTGATGATGTACCTGATAGGATGCAAACCTAAAACATTGATATATAATCAAATAAGTATTTATATAATATGAATAAACAACATAAATTTAGCTGTTAAAATGACATACTTTTTCCCGAACTTCTCAAGATATGGCTTGTTATCGCCATATGTATTCTGTGATATTCGAGTTGTTCTGCCAGCGTATCCATGACCTAAGTTATCAGCATCACGAACATTCAACGGTGTAAGCCATGTACATCCCTGTCGCTCATATTAGGATTGGAGTCATGAGGCCGACTACAAGTATTGTCAAGGATCATGAGTAGAGTCACGCGATTGACTATGAGTATGAGTATTTTTAGGACCACGAGTAGAGTCATGCGGTCGACTTTTAGGACCAGTGGTAGAGTCATACGATCGACTTTTAGGACCAAGAGTAGAGTCATGTGGTCGACTTTTAGGACCAGGAGTAGAGTTATGTGGTCGACTTTCAGGACCACGAGTAGAGTCATGCGGTCGACTTTGAGGACCGGGAGTAGAGTCATACGACCGAATTTTAGGACCGGGAGTAGAGTCATGCGGTCGACTTTTAGGACCGGGAGTAGAGTCATGCGGTCGACTTTTAGGGCCAGGAGTAGAGTCATACGGTCGACTTTGAGGACCAGGAGTAAAGTCATGCGGTCGACTTTTAGGACCAAGAGTAGAGTCATACGGTCGACTTTCAGGAACAGGAGTAGAGTCATGCGGTCGACTTTTAGGACCAGGAGTAGAGTCATACGGTCGACTTTCAAGACCAGGAGTAGAGTCATGCGGTCGACTTTCAGGACCACGAGTAAAGTCATACGGTCGACTTTTAGGACCAGGAGTAGAGTCATGCAGTCGACTTTTAGGACCATGAGTAGAGTCATACGGTCGACTTTCAGGACCAGGAGTAGAGTCATGCGGTCGACTTTCAGGACCAGGAGTAGAGTCATGCGGTCGACTTTCAGGACCATGAGTAGAGTCATACGGTCGACTTTCAGGACCAGGAGTAGAGTCATACGGTCGACTTTTAGGACCAGGAGTAGAGTCATGCGGTCGACTTTCAAGACCACGAGTAGAGTCATGCGGTTGACTTTGAGGACCACGAGTAAAGTCATGTGGTCGACTTATAGCACCGAGAGTAGAGACAAGCGATCGACTTTTAGGACCAGGAGTAGAGTCGTATGGCCGACTTTGAGGACCAGGAGTAGAGTCAAGCGGTCGACTTTCAGGACCACAAGTAGAGTCATGCGATCGACTTTCAGGACCACAAGTAGAGTCATGCGGTCGACCACCAGTACTGTCACGGCCAAGAGCAGAGTCATGTTGTCGACTACCAGTACTATCACGGCCACGACAACCCGACATAATGTGTGTATCCTACATTTGATCGAACAAGAACAATTAGATACCAATATGATAAATCTCATAGAATTTAAAGTGAACATACAAATATGATAAATCACACATAATTTAAACCGGAAAACAACAAACAATGTTCCTAACAATCAAGTTTGTTTTCGTTTGAATCATGGCCAAAAAAATCCATTCGCTTGTATATTCTTCATCTTTAAATCGTGGTCAGAAAAATCCATTAAAACAAGTTTTTTCCACTAAGACAATCTTTTTATAGCATATGGTTAAACCATAACTTTAAAATATTAATAAAACGAACAATTCAATAAACTAATATAAACCATAAATTTAAAATATTATTAAAATTAACAAACATTAATATGCCAGTGAAAATTAAGAGGTAGAGGTAGATGTTACAGATTCAGTTATCGGAGTTATGATGCTAATGCCCCTCCATGCGCTTCAACGATACTTTTCCTTTTTAAATTCCACCTATTAGGAAACCAAAAGAGATATTTGTATACGAAAAAAAAATCCACAACAATATTTGACACAAGTCAAATTCGTAGCCTTGGGAATTCGACAACTTGGATACTGTGACACATCATACAAGTATGAACCTTAAAAAAATTCGCAAGCAACTGTAATCAACATAATCACGTGACAAAATTCAACCTAAAATCTAAGAAATAACACTTAAACTCATAAAAACATAAACCTAAACCTAATATTCAACATATAACCACTTGAATTTAAAAGTTTCAAAAAAAGAAAAAGAGTTTTACCTTCAAAAAACAATTTGGCGAAGAAGAGGTACCCTAAAAGGCGTTGGGTATAGCTCCGGTCGACCCAGCGGCGGCAGCACTAGCTGTGGTGGCGACGAAGGTAGGATTTGCCGCCGAAATGGTGGGGAACTCCGGCTTCTACAGAGCGCAAAAGGGCAATAAAAAAAAGTTGAATGTTATGTGAAAAAAGGGAAAGATCCTATGGGCAAAAAGTCTATGCACACCATGGTGTAAACTGTAAACGGGGAATTTTAATTAGCACAACCCATAACAAGTTAACAATCGATAGTCAAAGTAAACGCATGAAAAGACTGATAAACGCTTACCAAATTATTCAAAGTCTAAATTTATTGGATTATTTACATATACCTCCCCCGAAATATATCAAACTTTTAACTTAAACCTTTATATTTTTAATATTTATTATTAAACCTTACAACTAATATATAAATTTATTTTTTGTAATCTTAATAGTTATGTATTTTCCAACAACTTTTATTTAATTAAATTTGTTTTACAATATAATATTTTGTATTATTTAATAGAGTAATAGTTACAATGTCCTTTAACATTTGTATTTTTAAATTTATAGCTATTCACTAAAAATATAACGATAAACAAACCGAAGGTATAGGCATGGGCAAACGGACCGAACCGGCCGGAACCGGGAACCGATTTTGGCCAAAATCAAAAACTGAGCCGGTCCGACGGTTCTACTGGTTCCGGTTCTGGGACCGGTTTTTGTCGAGTTTTCAATTTTAAAGTCGGTTTGATTTGACAAGTTTCCTTACGGAGCTTTTAACTCATTCAATCTTTAACCAAATCAAACGTTTTTACAGTTTAAACTTAACTACAAAACCTAAACTACGTATATAAAAAAGATTCAGGTCAAAAAAACTTAAATTGAGTGAATTATGTACATTTGAGCAACAAAGTCAGATTAGGTTTAATTGCTTTAACATAAAAAAATTCTGATTTGACACCTTTCCTTGAGGGGATTGTAACTCATTTAATTTTTAATCAAATCAAGCGTTTTTATAGTCTAAACTTAAGTAGAAATCCTAATCTATATGTAGGAAAAAGATTCAGGTCAAAACAAGTTAAATTGAGTGAGTTATGCACATTTGAACAACAAAGTCAAATTACATTTATTGCTGAAACATAAAAAAAATCTGATTTGACACCCTTCCTTGCGGAGCTTGTAACTCATTCAGTTTTTAACAAAATCAAACGTTTTTATAGTCTAAACTTAACTACAAATCATAATCAATATGTATGAAAAAGATTCATGTCAGAAAAAGTTAAATTGAGTGAGTTATGCAACTTTCAAAATTTGAGTGAGTTATCCGATCCGGTTCTCGGTTTTTGGCTGGTTCCAACGACCTGTTCTTACTGGGTTCTGATTCCAAAAATTGACGAAATTATAGTATTGGTTCCGGTCCGAGCCGTTCCATCGAGTTTCAATTCCGATACCGGTTCCCCAATCCATATGCTCATCCCTACGAACATATATCCAAGTGTTCTAAATAGTTTGACAAAAATTTATTATTTTTTTGTTAGAGCGGCTTAATTTTATTTAAAAACTAATGAAGAGTTAAAAAGACTCATTGCAATAAAATAAAAGCTAAAATCGGGTTTTAAAACCAAGAAACTAAAACTCTGTCAACCACTTTTTTATTCTTTTTTTGACATAATTAAATATTATTTTTATGGTCATTATCAACTCCTTTAACAACATTTACCCACTCCTAAAGTCAATCAAATCAAATTTTTGATATTTGATTTCACATAATTTTTTTTTTCTTTTTTGACAAAAATTATATATATATATATATATATATATATATATATATATATATATATATATATATATATATATATAATTTTCTTTTGTTAACAGGGACAACTTTGCTTTTGTTCCAATTTTATATAGTCGTTCGAATTTATAATGTCCGATTTATAAAATATCGTTCAAAATTTGTAATAATAACAACAATATTAATATTAATATTAATATATAAAAAATATTTAAAAATCGATTTTATATAGCCATTCGAATTTATAATGTCGTCCGAATGTTAAACTTTTGTGCAAAATTTATAATAATAATAATAATAATAATAATAATAATAATAATAATAATAATAATAAGAAAAAACATCATAAATGGTCTCTGTGGTTTTTCAAAATCTGAAGATTAATCCTTATGGTTTAAAAACGTCATAGATGGTCCCTATGCTTTCAAAACTTTTGATGTTTGGTCCTTTTTGCTAATTTAGTTAGCTTTTCACCGTTAAATGAAATGTATTTCCGTCATTTAACTATCCAGGGACCTTTTATAAGGGTTTTTTTTTAATTAATGAAAGAATATGCAAAGTCTCTTTACAAAAAAAAGATCGTCAATCACTTTAAAGGCTCTCCGACGAACGAAGAAAATGGATTGTTACGCCATCCTTCTTCTACTTGCTCCCTTGATCATCACAGTGGTTCATGCACATGTCCCAACAGATGATTTCATCAGGTTGCCGTCGGACAAAGTTGAATCTGTTGTAGTGGACGATGACTCCCGTGGAACCTGAGACAACCTCCCACCCCTTCATCTCTACAACAGAAGATGATCTATATGTGAGTGTGTATTTTTATGTGTTTAGGGTTTTCTATTGGGAGTAGTTCTCATTTGGGGGGGTAACTGTAACGCCCGTAGATCAGGGCTAGTCAATTTAGAAACGATAAGCGTCAAAAAAGACTTTTTGATAGAAGATTATTTAGAAGGAATAATCTTAACTAAGTTGTAGTATATGTCACAAGGTTTTCGTGCATATAAAGAACGCCGAAATCCGAGTTATAACGAAGAAATTATGACATGTCGAAGTTTCGCGACAGAATCGGCACGACACAACTCGACGTAAATAGTGAGTTTACGTTAGAGCGATATTTGGCCTTAGCGATCTAAATAAAAGTCGTAAAATACGTTAAACCGAGAGCGTGCATAAAAAGAACGTCCGAATCTGACTTCGTATGAGGAAGTTATGATTTTTCTAAGTTTCGACTTAGCGGTATGCAACCCGAATACTCGATTTGAGATCGAGCGGTTTTTAGCCGAAACAATCTAAACGATAATCGGATATCTTGTCGATAGTAGTCCAACGGTAAAAAGACAGACGAAAACGGACGTCGGATAAAGAAGTTATGAATTTATAATGGAGTTTTTCTATCCCGACCTACTAAAAATAAATAATAAAAAATAAAGTCAAAATTAGCCAACGGAGTCTAGATGAAAGTTGTAGAGCATAATCTCACCTACATGTGGATATAAAGAACATCGAAAACAGAGCTCGTATGCGAAAGTTATAAATTTTTGAAGAGGCACGCATACCAAAGCTTATCCGAAGCGTACGCCCAACGTAACCAAAATTACGCCCAGTGTACTGAGTATGCCCAGCGTACTTGGAAATTACGCCCAACGTAATCCCAAACCCAATAGCCTATAAATAGAAACCGAGATCAGCCATTTTCCTTGCTCATTTTCTTTATGCTCTATAAGTTTTTGCCTCGATTTGTGTGCCAATTATATCCCGGAGCCCCGATATCATTCCCGATGTAACGACCCAAAAATTACGACTAAAAGTTTCTTTTAAAACATTACCAAAACCATATTTATAAAACCGTATCATAAGTCATAACATAATTTTCGAGTATTAATTCAAAACATAATCTCATTATGAGAGTAAAACATTCTCAGGCTAACTGACTATGGTGTGTGCACTGCAACCTCTCCGAGCCCCTCTTTTGAAAACTGAGTACCTAAAACCAAAACTGAAAACTGTAAAGCACGAAGCTTAGTGAGCTCCCCCAAACTACCACATACCATACAATAACATATAAAGCACATACTGGGCCTTGCCCACTGCATCAGACTGAGGTCCGGACTAACTGGGGCCTTGCCCCCTGTATCGGATCGAAGTCCGAAAACTGAATGGGACCTTGTCCCCTGCATCGGACCGAAGTCCAGACTATCTGGGGCCGTGCCCCCCGGACCGAAGTCCGAAAATTGACTGGGACCTTGTCCCCTGCATCGAACCGAAATCTAGATCTAACTGAACATAGCATAGCATAAACATATCAACTAGCATGAACACATATACTGCATACTGCATCGGGCCGTAGCCCGGAACACATAACACATAAATCCTGTCTGAGCCATGAAGGAATCAGACATACTAACTA